TTTATGACCAACGGCACCTTTTTCGGCTGGAGTGGTACCACGTAAGAATTGGTAGAAGACGTGAAAACTTCGCTCCTCCGGCGCTTGCCGTAGTGTCCTGGATTTTTCAAGCAAATAGAACTCGATATTCGCTCCGGATATGTACCCAGACATGTCGAAATTGATTCGGATAAATTTACCCTGAAACACGATATCATGGGAGTTCTAAAACCTCGAAAAATTACGGTGAATATACTTACAAAACGTGATGAATTGTCATTCTTCACAGTTTTACTGTTACCAAATGCTTCCAAAATAGGATTTGCTTGCAGTAGTTGATGTTCTAATTCACCCTAAATTGAAAACACTTTAAATTTGAAAAATCAATAGGTACACCCCGCAAAAACGTATTCTGTGGAGAGCATAATCACAGCGTAGGGAAGACTTCTAGACCAAGCCTTCTGTGAGAGCATATGGGGTTAGGTTGCGATCAACTTCGACGTATAAAAGACAAGTGACTAAGGTGAGTAACAAAATGACCAACAAAAAATCACAATAACAACTGTACGTACACGAACATGAGTCACTTTTACATAGTAAACTTACGATAGAATTCCGATAATTGTCGTGCTAGAAAAGCATAACGATCAGTTAACGGTTTCATCGCATTAAACGGAAAAAAATTGAAAAAAAAAAAAACTGGAGCCAAGGATGCAATCCAAAATGAGCTCGAACAGACGCCAGACAAGTAAGAGCCGGGCCTAGGATTTTGCACGAAATGGCACGATATTGTACGAAAAGGCTCGAACGACGTCTTGTTCAAGCTCATTTTCGAAAGCACATCTTCCCATGACCCGTTTCCTGTCCCTACTTTTGCAGGCGAAGTGCCTGGTTGTGGTCCTCCTTTTGATCTTGTTGCACCGGCAACATGGGCCAGATACTGGATAACTTTCTTTGTGTTCTCAGTCTTTCCGGCACCGGATTCTCCTCTGAATTCCAGCCATTTGCTCAGAAATTATGACCATAATGATTCGCATAGAGAGTATGCGGACTGCCAAACCAAATTACACCAAAAAACTCACGTGCAAAGAATAGATTGGTCTTCGCGATCTGGAAAAAAGCACGTTATTTACATGCAGCTGTTACGCTTGTAAACAACTGTTCAACAAATCACCCAGGGCCACTTATCAACAAAGGCCACAGAGTATTGGTGTCATAGGTAGAAAAATTGCTACTGTGAAGTACCCCAGGCAAATACTTGATGGCTTACGGTAACATTCCTGATCCTAACCATCTGGAAATTTACGAGTAAATGATGATTAACCGTATCGCGAAACACAGATTTATTACTTGTTGTACTCTCATATTCGAACGGCTCCAATCCGAAAACAAACCCAACAATTGATACCAAAAATCCCTGGGGAATTCGCTGTGGGACTCTTAAATGGCGCGACCCCCTACTGTAGCCATACAATATATCACACCATGACATTGTAAATTAGCCAAAAAAAAACTATCGAGTTTGAAATGTGCATACCTTGAAGCATAGAACGATACGCCGAATCGGCAATGGCAAATATGTGAGGTGGCATTTCGTGCCTCTTTTTCCCTTTGAATTCCTCAATCAAACTTTCCGAGTAAATGGGCAGTCGCTTGTATGGATTTATAACCACGCAGAAAAGACCCGAATACGTCTAAACAACTACTTTCAAGGCTTACCAAAAAAAACACGAGCAACAAAAATATAAAAAGAAAATCTCAACTCACATAAATAAGAGAACTAAAGTAACGCTCCTTAAGATTGTGCAGAACGGACGCTTCATTTAAGTATGTTAACTCGGACATATCCTCCACCTAAATATATTGGAATTACCTAGACATCAACGAAAAACTCATCGATTTGACGGACCTTGTCAAATTTGGGAGGATTCGCCTTCTGGACGTCATCCTTACTGATCGTGACCGTCTTACCGGTATCGCAAATTTCGACGATTACCTCATCGTTCGTCTCTTTTCTAAAACTCAGCTCATTTCTCATCACACTATTGAAAGGTAAAGTAATGTTGAAATACTTGATAGATCCGGCCACGAAACCGTCCTTTTCATGAGGTACCCAGCAGAGTTTCTTTCCAGCCCACTCGGAGGCTCGTGCTGGGTCGGCGACGGCCGCTCTCTGCACCTGCAGAAAGCGAAGGTCCGACTCCTCCATGTGCGGCTGTAAGACCGAGGAATTGCTCTTTTTTCTGATTTCACGATAGCATCTCGTTGAGCAACGAGCTCCAAACACAAGGCATGTGATGAGTGGCACATATATACACACACATAACGCAGAAATGTGACCGACAGTAGGACGACGATAAGAGCAAATAGAGGTAAGCTAGTCGCACGAACAGAAGAGAGGCACAAAAACGATCCAACGAGCGACCGGAAGAGAATGCGACAATCATGAGTGGACACGTTCAAGTATTCGTAAATATATTGTTAGTTTTGAGGTCGTTATTAGAATTGACAACGATGTTACTGTGTTTGCCTGGCTGTTGGGGATGAGCTACCCACCCAAGCACATATGCACACCCAACCGGACGACGGGGGGCGATAGCACCGCCGCCGTCTGTCCGTCAGTGAGTTCGTCGGGATCGACGAAGCATTTGAAGCTCGACGACCACCGCCATCGGCCGCCACGACGGAAGCTCAATGAGTAGTCGATTGACTTCGTATAAAATGAAATCCAGCGACCATCCCCGTCGACATGCCACGATGACTGTTCCCCTGCGCTCCGTCAAAATATGCATCAATCACGTGGTTAGTCATTGCGAATTCCGACCGCTTTATTGTAGGCGAATATTCAGCGAAACGGCTCCAACACAGCTACAACTGATAACGAATACAATACTGGCCATTTATTAGCCCTTCTATCTGGGATAAGCAACCAATCAGCATCTATTCTTGAATCTTGAAACCACCAATCACAAGCATCGTTGACACATCCTTCGTAGCAACCCAAAAATAAACATGGCAAGCGTCGATGATATTTTTTCAAACTTAGTAATTACGAGAGCGGCGCTAAAAACGACAAGAGAGGACGACCTTGGCAGATTGCATTCCTGAGCGAACGAACGAGTGATCGCTGAGGGAATGACGAAAAAACGTCAGCCAGCCAGCACGGCGAGGGGGGATGCTCAACACCTACTAATGCACATATTCAGTAGAGAAACTGTATAAGTAAGACTCGGTCGGTATGGTCAATTGCCGTCTCCCGTGCTCTCTCGTCTCCTGCCTGTATTGACTCATGTGGGGACAATGAAAAAATCGGCTCGTTCCGTGCTCTTGAGCACAGTGAGTGAGACGAGGGGGCTGGGATGACTTGTTGAATGGCAAACGTTGTTCGGCGCCAACTTCTCGACAAGAACTATCAACACAAAGTCACCGTGTAAATAAGCGAGCAAATGAATGTTCCACCATTACCACACACATTCACACGCACATATTCGGTCTGTTTTTCGAACATCAAGTACAGTTGCTCGGGTTGATCGTTGGGCGAAAAGCGCGATTTGTTGGTGTTGGTGAGGGGGGAGGGGTTAGCAAGGGGTGAAGGGGGAAGGGGGAGAGGGGGCGATGGGGGTAACAAGACGCAAAGGCGGGAACAAAAGGCTCGGGGATGACTCAGCGCGACATGCATCGACCAGTTGACTGACCATTAGAGATGGGTGCGGCGAACCGAATAACCAGAAATCGCCACCCCGAACTATACCCCCGCGCTCATTTCGTCGGTCTGATTTCCCCCTATATCTCACGGTATCATCTGGTTCGAAAATCCGAAAATCAACGCCGCTGGTGAACATCTCTGCACCTGGCGTACACTTGAACGTTTCCGTTCTGGCGAACAGTATACATACACAAAAAGGACACAGCAGCAGCTTGTCGTAGTCGTCCATCGCACAAGTACAAGCTTCCGTCGAATCAATTAGATCCATAAAGTATGGCGCGGTCTTGTATAAGCACCTCCCATTCGGGCGCACTTAAATCAGGAGCAAAGTGGCCCGAAAGAATCGCCTTTTCGTCGTCGCTTATCTATGGAATGCGGGACAATTTCAGCGAGTGAACTGACAGAAATGAATGGCGATGAGGTGCGAGACCTCCTCCGGTGCTGTCGAGGTCGCAGCGTGTGCATTGGCCGATGCTGGCATGAACCCTCTCGCCTACCTCCTCCTTCCTGCGCCCTTGCAACCCCATCACACAGCAGTTGAGCGCTCAAAAAACCCGAGACCGATGATGCCGCCCATATTTGCTCGATGGGCCTCATGCACACGGCTTATGCGTGTTATGATTCACCATGGGCACAGACTGTTACCACGTCATGACGAGCTCGTGCTCACGAAATGTCACGCCTGTATGCGGGCGAGATTAAGAGGGTCGACGACCATAAATGATCATTAAGAAGGGCGTATTGTGACGGAGGACGATAAAGCCAACGTTTGGAGGAGTGACAAGGGCAGAGGAGAAGGAAACGATGGATGAAAGGATAATGAAAGTGTGCGGCGGCGGCATGGCATGTGGTCAGCAGCGTCGCCTCCGTCACCACGCACAAGGTTACTCCCATTATCAGAACGCGGAGCACGGGTAAGTAAAAGACAGCGACAGAGGGAAATAGAAAGAGAATACGGGAGGAAAAAGGGCACTAGTACAAAGAATGGCGAAGGAATGACTGGACGCATTTCCTTGTCAATGTCCCCCTTGTAGGGAGCCGAACGAACTATAAGAACAAGAAGAGGGGAAAAGAGAACGCTCGTCGTACACTTGAATTGATAATGAACACCTGAACAACGCCAATGAGCAGACATCTTCCGAATGAACAGCGCCAAAGCACCTGACGAACGAGCGATGCCGAGTACACTACACTTTACTCGAGAAGCGAAAAAAAAAACTGGAAGAAAAACTATCAAATTCAGTACAGCCCCAATGCTCGTTCACTGGCTGTCGATAACACGAAATAATGATGATAGACGGAAGCCAATACGCGATCTCTAGAAGTTACCCCCCACAAGTTCGATCAATGTGGGTGGTCTGGCCGAAAAACACAGTTACGCTCAGCGAGGCCACTTAAAATGAATATTGAAAAAGGCGATCAATAATCGCGATGGCCCAGAGCATTAAGCTTGAAGCAGACAAGCAAAACAAACAAACTTGGAGATTTCTGGCAGAAATATAAGATATGAAGCAAATAAACTACGAGATACTACGAATATTCTAGTAACGGAATGTGCGGCTCATAAACTATATGAAAAGATAATGAAAGTAATTACGAGTAAAATTGAGCAACACTGGAAGCAATTAACAAATTTTTCATTAAAGATAAAAACAGGTAATAACATTTAGTAGTAAAATTAAGGGGACAGATACGGGAAATTCCGCTAGTTCATCACCGCTCATTACATAGATAGTAGCCATGCTGAATCATCGTTTGATAGGAGAGGAATGAAAAAATTGTCAAATGGGTCGTTAGATGAGTCAAGAAACTTCAACAACACAAACTTGTCTTTCTGAACTTGTCAAATGAAATGACACTGAAGGGAACTGGGCTAAAATGGGGGGTATTACGTGGACATGCTCATCCCCCACCTCTCTGCTGAGTCCGTGCTATGTCGGGGAAGACAAGACGCGAGTTTAAAGATTTAAGAGGGAACGAAAAAAGCGCAAAACGGCCCGAAACAGGGGCGGTAGGGGCTGCGGAGAACAGATTACCATTGAATATTCGATGATTCAGTCGTCGTACCGTGATGGGGCGATGGTGTTAGTTGTGTAGTGCAGAATGCAAATCAACGAGGCCATCGAAGTGATTGGTACTCGACCAAGGGCAAACTGCTGAAGTTGCAGTTCATGGTGAACATGACCCCCCAAGTACGTCTGACTGTCGTTCCATGCAATATGACTTGCCGAGGGATATTCCCCATCCCAATGGTCCCGCCTGCTATGCGCACACCCGAGACAGACACGGGGAACGGATGACAGGAGAGAGGTGCAGAGATAGGTTGGCTGTCGGGACACCTCAAAGATACCCACCGTCTCATCATTCTAAAGGTCATGGAATGCAACAACAACAATACACAAAAAATCGATGGGAACCCGAAAACGATCGATTTGGTGACATGAAAAGAAGCGAATGCGGAGGTGAAGAATGCGAAGCTTCGTGGTGCAGTCAGAGGAATGCAGTCTGGCATGTGAACTCGTTATCAGAGCCGGCTCAGGAACGTCCAGAGGTGGCTACCCATCAACACAAAAATGCTTTATGAAAGTACAAAATGGTAATCGATGAGCTCATCGATGAGTAATCAATGAGCAAAAGAGTCGATTGGATCGAAACTACACACACTCACACACACAAATACACGCACACACACCCAGCACGTTCGCCTTTTGCGTCGCGCCGAGCGGCGGGCGCTAAGCCGCTATTTGAATTGCGCAATGACGCCTTCTTAAAGGTCCGGTAACGAGCATTGTCCTACTGTAACTAGCCATGGCGCACACAATTCGTCGAGTTCATCAGATGCTAGATGACCAGCTGGCTTGACTGAGGCATCATGGTGGCACTGACACCCTTTGACTGATGCTGGTGCGATGAGCGTACGGAGATAGTGAACGATCCGTCGTTTTTGTTTGCTGAACAGCTGTGAGTCGTTGTACTTTTGTGGAAGGAATAGCACTGAATCTGGTAATGAGGTCGCTACAATTTGGGTAAGATCAAGTGTGAGGTGAGAAATTAGAAGTGGATGGCCTCGTCAGCGCCTTTGGGCTGTATCGATGTTCGATAGAGTGGAGGGAGAAAGCCCGAGCGAGTGCCGTCGGCTCACCCCATAGATGACCGCCTCACTGACCAGCATCCTGCTCTGTTGCCTGATAGCGCTCTTTGTTCTGCAGATTTCTGTAAGTTTTTTGGAATTATTTTCTCAATCTATGAGTTGCAAGTAAATAGCACATGTTAACTGGTTTAAGAAGTAATTTCCTGAATCCACGAAACTCTTTGAGAGCCTAAATTTTCAAAATGTTTTTTTCGCTACCGCATTTTTTCGGGTAAGTTCACATGAAGCTTTTCCTCACTCATATTTTCTATCATTCGTTTCCCACTATTATTAATTGGTTTCTTCTATAATTGCTCGAATTCTTGTTGTCTCGGACCTGCTTGAATTCAACGCGGCCGTTCAATTGCAGTGCAAAAAAGTAGTAATCTCTTAGTATTTATTGTGGTCGTAAGGTTACCGTATGTATCCGGCTGCTATTTGGAATTCTGCAATTTTTGGGAATCTTGGAATCAAGGGAGTTTATTGCTTGGCCGGTTGCACCAGGTTTGAGTTCCTGAACAAGGTCTAAAGGGCAGTACTGGTTGCTCCTGTTGTGGGATTGAACGACCGAAAATTTGTTCGTCATTTCTTCCATTTCTATCCTAATCCCATTGCCTTTTATTAACGTACTGGGAACCGAACCTATTGTCCGCGTTCTTTATGAATAACTTTTCCGTTCATGCATTACCTTTCTTCCACTACTTGTCAAACAGGTGACTGTTTTTCATCAACGTTGCCTCTAGCCCTGGAACGGCCTGTTCCGTCCCCTCCTTAAATCCCTGTTCTGAGCTTACAGAGCACAGAACTTCAAATTCTGCAAAATCTTGACCGCTAGATTTCAATGAACCTCTTTTCAAAATACTTGCTCACGGATGGACTGAAAAAAATAGCAATGACTCATATGTGGAGATTCATGGCCACCCTGTCAAAATGAACCAAGTTGAAAGCTCGCTTTCCTCTGACATATTGAGCAGTTGTCAATTCGTCAGCAGTAATGGATGAGGGTCTGAAAAAACTTCTAGCATCTTGCAGCTTATCACACTGTTATGACTGCGAATAGCCGGAAAAGAATCGATGGGGGGAAATGGACTGGTGAAAAGGTCCCTTAAGCCTCGCATCTCGAATTTTTGAGTATTTTGAACTTGGGAATATTGGCATCGTCTTGGAATCTATTTATTTGGAAACCAACCTGGACTTAAACGCTTGGCTGCTTAGATGTTTAGAAAGAATAAAGTGAAGCAGCAGCTAGGGACCACAATTCTTGCTTCGAAAATCTGCACCCGCCTAAGCAAACCGTTCTCTTCCTCAATGACTAAAATCTGGTATCGAATGAAACTCCTACCGTAATCCCAATGCTTCTTCAGTTTATCACCAGTGATGAAACATCGTGAATGAAGACCAATACTAATTACGGAGTGCTAATAAGGAGTAGTACTGGACCTACAACTGGGGTTTGGATCCATTTCGAGCTTTTGTTCTTTTATGCCTCCACCTTCAGATGCTACTGAATGGCACAAGTCTAATCATAGGGAATAAAGGTCTCAAAGCAAGCATAGCGCATCGCTAGAAAGTTTCTTTACATGGCAGATACTCATTTAAATGTATCTACGATTCCGAATCCGAATCGAATGCACGGCGCATTTCGCGTGAGCCCATTGACACCTAATACTGCACTATTTTACTGTTATTAGGTGATGTAAAAGGGGGATTACCCAGATGCTCTGACTCGAATGCTGCTTTCTGACTTATCCTAATTTTTTCTTTCAACTCACCCGACCCCCTCAAAAATAGGCAATTCCGGACAATGTGCAGTAGCGACTGCACTATCTTACCTCTCTATAAACGGAGGCATTTCCTTTGTTGAATTCTTACTTTTTTAGTTTTTGAATGGGAACTATATTTGATTTTTGGTGTTTTATCGATATGTTGTCTCACTGGTGCCTACCTTAACCCATTGACGCCATATCGTACTCCTGTAGTATTTATACTATTTATCGAGGGTTCCTACAACTTTCTAATGTTTTCAAGTATCAGCTGAGCTCACAGCCTTCTAAAAAATCTTGAGGCATTGTGGTCCAGGAATCATTCATTTCCAACTACAGTTATAAGAGAAATTAAAGTTAATGTAAGGAAGGTATAAAAGGCGCGGTCGCCAGTAAGTTAACCTAACCTATCTTGCCTCCATTTACAAACGAATACAACACACCCGGAAGTGAGGAAGTAGAAAAATTAGTAGGAAAGGCTGAAGTAGAAAGAAATACACGTTTCTATGGCCAGAAATAAATAGGACGCAGATTTGTCAGCTTTGATCAATTAATTCGCGAAGCGCCATATACCCTACGTAGCAAATGCATAGACGATTCCGATTCTGGCCTGTGCCATGGTTTAGGAAGCAAGCCCCTCTACGCATTAATATGCTATCCTTCAAATGTAGGGCCAGTTACTTGGGCCCTAAGGAATGGAAGGGCCGAATGGTATGGATGAGATCAAATCCCTGATGCAGAGCAACTTTTTTGGTGATCATTACAGTAAATAAAAAAGAACAACAATTACCGCGTATACTTGAAAGCGGATAGAAAAACCGAAATATAGGAAAAGAATTCCAGTGCTGAAGACAAGGTCGATGTAAGCCCAGCGAATGGCTGAGCCAGAAGTGCTGGCCTCACTACAGTAAACTACTGCGCTGTGAACAGACTGTGTGGGAAGTAAAACAGTAGGCGATTGACATTTTCAATAGAAATGGCAGTGTTGTCGAAGTTACATCAGCTTTTATGTATGGGCCAGCAGAGAAGTTGATGATGAAGACGTCGATGATGTGAATCAGCTATTCATAATGCCGTAGAGGCGGCCAGAAGCACTTTGAGCGCTAAAATGCCGTCTTTAACCAGAGTATTTGGGAAGAGTTAACTGGAGCATAAAGCATCTATTCATTTGGGACATTTGGGAGACAGAGGATTTTTCAAGACCTCCCTAAACCAGTAATTAGGGGCATAAATACAATTACTTGTACTCGACTTGTCAGAGCTTTTGCGAAAGGTGGTAGTTGAAAACGAATGGAATAACCTCTTAACATTGTACCTCTATTTCTGAAGATCTAGCCGACCATATGGGACTTATAAAGGGGTCGTCATGCAAAAGTTGTACTTGTTACATTACCACTTAAAACCACTGGAGCACATGGGGCAAGAGGCCTATTGAATTGGCCGAGCTCGCCAGCACCAACTGTGAAGCGATTAGTCGCTTGGCGGTCATTTCCGGATGCTGTAAAAACCTTGGGAACAAGAAATCCCATTGGAAACTATTCCCACTTACTCAAACGCGAATTCCAACCTGTACTGAACTCTTGAAACAGTGGTTTTTTCAGAAGAGCACAAGCGTAGCTCAATATACTGATCTTTATGAATATTTATGATGTTGTTTGAGTGTATGCAAATCGCAGAAAGACCAACTTCCCTCCTCCCCATGCCCATATTACTCCAGAACAGTCTACGAACCTATATGATAAAGTATAAAGTAGTAAAATAAAAATGAGTTCGAACTGCACGGCAGCAACTAACTGACTGCGACTTACTTGTGGTTTCATCTCCGTAGTAGAGATTAGGGCTGTTGTCGATGCTACTTAAAAGTAATAATGTGGAATATCAGTACGGACCGTTTCCCTTCGGAGAATGACGTCATAATCATTATAATTTGATGCATTTGTCATATGTTTCCTCTTTGCCTTGTGATTGTGCTGACTTTCCTCCCACTGACACTGTTCGCCTTCGCAGATGAACTTTACAGAAGTACAACTTTTGCAAGAAGTCATAAACATAGCAAAACGGAACAAATCATATAACTTCAACTTTGTAAATTTGGGCTGTAAACTCAAACTTTAACTTTAACTTAAGTTTAAAAAAATGAAAATTAAAAGACTAGAAAAACTAAATAAGAAGTAAACTTAAATTTGTGAATAAATGTAGTCAAGCAATGCTCTACTGTGATTTCATCCCACTTTTGTAAGTAACAACAAGTACAAGAGTAACTGCACAAAAAATTTAGCAAGGTTACAGGAGTTCACTGAAGGTTTTACCCGTCTTCTGAGCTGACGATCTATCTGGCGGCCAAAAAATGAAATGTCAAAGGAACATTTTGGGACACTTTTTCTAGATAAGCCACGCATCCGACACTCACCCCGTTCCAAGAATAGAACAGTTTTTCAGTGAAACGACCGGTGTAACGGACCGATACTAGAATCTTTTGTTCACGATAGGTCCTGATATAGGCCCTGGGGGCCCTTCGATGACTAAATGGCATGAAAAGAGCGGCGTCACTAGTATTTATTAGCGAAGAAGGAAATGAAGATGAGGAATATTTAGCAAAAATTTGAATAAAATTGAAAGTGCAAAGAAGCTTTTTTGTTTTTCTTTTTATGGATTTACGGTAGCGTTTGATAATATGATGAACGAACGCGCTGAATAAAGAGAATTTGCAGGAATCCAAGGAATCCAAGCATATTATCATTCAATCGAATCGAAGCGCATTTCAATACATACGTGACATGCACCACAACACACATTGCCCACTATGCGTGATTTTTTTCAAAATGTGGCCTCGAGAAAAAATTCTGGAAAAGCACCCGTTTTTTTCGAGAAATTGAAAAAGTTCTGAAAAAGAAAGCTGCCCTTCCCCTCCCCCCACCCCTCCTCTTCTGCGTCCCCAGGTTGTCGGAATTTCTTTCCCAGAATTCAACGAATAATCATTCAAATTAAAAGAATCGGCGGCACGTCTTAAGCGTTTGCTTACATGCCTTAACAGCTAAAAGGGATTGGTTGGCTTTTTGACAGGCTTCTTAGACGTCTTGCCTACATATAAGAGTTTTAGGTAGTGAATCCGTGAAATACTTGAGTTGTATTAGTAGTAATCTGGTCTGCGATCCACATTCGAAATCGCAGTAATATTTGAATGCATGCTATGCTTACACAATAATTAGCCTGAATTTACCTGATCTCGGAGGTGTGGGGCTTTATTGAATCGCAAAGACAACCTAATTCCAAGGGCACTACAATAGTGTCGAGAAATAGAGCCGTGACGCGTCTGCGCGCGTCCAGGTTGGTAGGTCTCATGCATCGCCGTTTCAGCAAATGTCAATGTTGGCAAAAAAAGAAATTTCACTCAAGAATACAGTGCGTTCAGCAAGTAAAGAGGGTTAAGTAGGATGGAAGTAAACATACAGGAGAGCTAAAAGTAGTAAAGTAGCGAGTTTTTCAGATTTACTATAACCGTAATGGGTTTAACGAGACTCACTCTGTGGAATGGCGACGAACTCAAGGGGAATGCCGATGTGGAACGACAATGACGACAAGCTTTAACTGCTATCCTCGTGCATTCGCTGGCCGCTCCACCACCAACGCTACTGCTGATTCATTGCGATGTGGCGAATGCTTTTCATGCATTTCGATGTCGCTGGCATCTGGAGAACGACGGTGTGGTTGTATTCTGAAAGCGCTCCTCATTGATTCCGCTCAGAACACTCGATGTAGCCATAATATTCAGGAAATCCGAGATGGTGTTCGCCCTCAGCTCCGATCATACAGCTATGAACAAATTGTTGGTACTGATCGCATCCGTCCACAAGTACTATCCATCCACCAAGATTCTCCTGTACGATAACGAAATTGGCAGTGTAAGTTGCATCGTTTACCTGTGTAAATTATTAGAAGTTTTCAAAATCCGCTCAAAAATATCTCAGACTAATCCAAAAAAGTACAGTCAGCTGTGGTAGGAGGGCAGTTGTAGTTTAGGGAAAAAGGAATTGGTTAGCAAACTAAACAGTTGGATTCAGTTTTACTTTTTCCGCATACCCACAGCATAATGTGCCATCGCATTCCCGATTTTGTGTCCAACCTAAATGGCCCGTTACCGGGACAGCCCCGTTCATTGGGATGAGAGATGCTGCACTACGAAACCCATCAGAACCGTTTTAATGTTGTTGCTGATTAGTAAGTAGGAATGACTTCTCTCTTCCAGGACTTGCTGCAGAAACGATTGATCAGTGTACGGAACGTAATAGTGATACCTGCTGAAGTTGCCACGCAGCATCCTTCTGATGAAGCAGATAAATTTCAGTGGAATGCCTGTTTCCTATGGGTGAGTGAAATCAACCCACTTAAAATTTATATGGCTACTCAAACATAACGTGCACCGTAGCATTAAGCTTCAGACACCCCAGTTGAGTGTAAAAAGGAAAATGATTAGTAAAAAATGAACTGCATAAGCTTACAACTTAGGTGCACACAGCGTAGTTCGCATTAGCTGAAGGCATCACGATCTCCCAAGAAAGTTCTCCTTTTTTCTCAGGAAGCATTATCCAAGCGCCATCCGACAGCTGAATGCTTCTATGCTCGACAAATGTATCTTTTCCTTTGGTATCGTACTACGCATCGGAAGCCTAACATTTTGCCGAGGCTCACTCGAAGTTCAACTTTTGAAACAGCATCTTTATACTCGTATAAGCTCAGCTCCTAAACAGCTCGGTCAGAACGTCAGCTCCTAACTGTCGAAGCTCAGATAGAAGCTAATTTCAGAGGGCTTCACGTTTTGCTAGAAGTTGCTTAAGTTGATCTGTATGCAAATATAATGTTGAAAAAATGCTAACTCAGTTGCAACCTAGAGGTTCCACAGCGAAGTCCTGTGTTCGGTAGTGGATGTAGACTGATACCCAAGTTAAAGGATTGCAGGATGCCTTGACTCGATACAGAACGGTGCTCTGGTTGAACGATGATCTCGAGTTCCTGTCCAGAAATCTGGACGAGATTCTGAATAAGACGACATCACCCATAACTGCTATCGGTCGTGAATACACCACCGACATAAGGAAACACGGTAATACATACTTCATTAACTCTGAATTGTCATTTATTTTGCTGGGAATCGAAGGTTCAAGAAATTCTGGAATTGTGGGTGTTATTCTACACTTTCTCCTGGGGGTTCTCCTTTGGTAAGCAAGACGTACATGAAAGGTGTCGGTGACTTGAAAGACTTTCTCAGTATACTCTAGTACTTATTTTCCGGAAGTGTCTTTTTCAGGATTTGTTCCCTACTTCCCTGGCACGGTCACGCCGCGGAACTACACGATGCTTCTGTTACGAACTGGAGCCGGAAAGACATTTCAATGGTGAGGTATCGTGAAGGTTCCGCCCTAAACAGTTTCACCTCAATTTTCAATCACTAGTCGATCCCCTACCCCTGGAATGCATGTCATTGGTGAACCGTGCAGACGGCAATCGCGTTAGCCAATGACGAGGGCCGTGGTGCGCCGAGCATAAACACCACCTTTATACCTACCCGCCGACTTTTCACTTTTGTTTTACTTATCATGCAAAAATCTCAATCGTCAGTATTTCGTACAGGATTACCAAATGCGCTTCTGAGCCATCACGACATTGTTGGGACTGTCGTGCAAGTGATGGAGAGGCAGTCGACTGTATGCCGAGTCTGTTAGCACGTTTGTCTGTCGATACCCGTGTGGAGTACCGCCCGATGCCGACCAACTCTGTACAACATCAACGATGGGAACCAACAACTTGTGACGCTCGTTGTATTGCCTACACTTTCATTGCTATCATCCTATTCTTGTTTATTGCCATTGCTGTTGTACTGATAATGTTTAGTAGAGCTACTAATAAGTTTAAATAATTTGGCTCTTTTCTTACTATGGAGCAATCAGTCCGATTCCCACAATGATGTTGTTAATTTATGATCTCGGCCAGGGTACCCATTTTACCGGGAAACGCCTGCGTAGGATTCCTCTGAGGGTATGGTATCGCGGCTCGTGTCTTGCATGTCTACTATTGGCCATTTCCTGATCAACCAATCAGAGCAGTCGTGGCTTCGTACAATCCTTCGCGACGAATCCTGCAAACCTGGGGCTGTGAATAACCTTTGTAGCTCTCCCTGGGTAATACTGCTCTTATTCATGAAATATATCAAGGAGGGCTTCACTGGTTACAGATCTATTTATTTATATGTTTATTTGTATAGTGGTCCTATACTTTGATTACCCAGATTACTAGTGATTATATCCAATTTTTCAAATGAATAAGTCTTCACCGCACTTCCATTGCCTTCTTTTTGTGATCATTGAAAGCATGATCTTGTATCACTCATTGTTCTGAATCTCTTGTTAAATGATAAAGCATGATCTTTAGTTCTCTAGAACAACAAGCAATTTTCTTTCACTCTGGGGAGGGGAAAAAGGCATGGCGAATAGTTAATGTTACAATAAGAATGATTGTGCTTACGGTTTGGCAGATAACACGCCATTATTGAAAACAACAGAATGGGAGACGATCTGGTGATCTTTCAACGTTGGAAGACCATGTTTTACCGAAGTACCAAGGCCATTCGTGCCTAGACGACTGGAGCGGAAACTTTTGCTGCTACGACCCTCAGATTCCTCGCCAAACCCATATAGGACATGGAAATCATCTGAACATATTCAATTCCCAAAGACGATAATTGCAATTTTCAAGTGACTGATCTAAAAAAAAAAGGTGGGGGGGGGGGGGGGNTGTTGACACGGAACAGACTCCTCATACCGTTATGTAATAGAACTAGACTCCTATGACAATCAGAAAATGGCTGAAATCATGAAAGGTCCTTCCTATATGATCATTCTTTATGATACCAAGGAACTATGCACCCTTTGCAGTGCATCGCTTTTTCTGTCACCTCCTCCGATGTTCATACAGTCCTTGGTGACGGAAAGACACGGTGTTTAGTTGTCCGATCCTGATGCATAGCGATAATTAACGTCCGTAGCTTTACTGATACCGAAACTCGGTCTTTACGGTCTTCACCACCAACAGCAGCCGTCGTTTTCATGGAACCTGTTCCATCTATCACGTCACCATTTGTCATGCGGTCGGATGGGACGCTACTTCACAATGTGAAATCTTGACTCTCAAATTATATTTTATACTTCCTGGTTGATTTTTGCTGAATTTTTATTGTACAATGGAGCGTTGGGTGGTATCGTTTGTTTTTGATTTGATTTCCTTTTTATTGAGTAGTTTTGTACTGTGGAGACTTTTTTCAAAGCTGCTATTAGAAGCGATAACAGTCTATGAGTCAGGTCGTGCTTCACATTCCTTCTGAACTCGAGAATCTGAAAAATGCGATTGATGTTACAGGAAGATCTGAAAGAGCTTGAATAACTGTGCTTACATTGTTTGCCGATCTCTACTGCTATCTCTGAAATTCACAGTGTGTTATGAGGATCCCGGATATGTGGGCTGTTACGAGAGGTAGTAGTTCTATGGATACATTGTGGCTCTAAGGTACCAGTCTTTATGGTACCACCTCTGGAATCCTCCCATGGAGAACCACCCTTCTCCCAGGCTCCTTTCACATGTATTATTGGATAATTCGATCGAATGCTAATAAGGAAGAGGATATGACTGATCAGTATTCGGAATACAGGAACTCTTGTATGAATGATGAACAACATATGTATATCACAGCAGGTCGATCACCTGGTAATGTATGATACATGAAGCATTTCTTGAATAATCTCTGAGACATGCTTTCCCTCAAGAGCAGATTAAATACTTAACAATAGCTGAATAATAGAGCGGATGTGGTGTAGTTGCAAGTGGCGCATCATTACAAACTCAAGGTCTGGGGATTGAGACCTGGATCGATGCTCTCCCAGGCCTTCGTCATTTGGTACAAGTCTCGCCCGTGAGAATACACGAGCTCACCTTAACATTCTTCGCAGTTCTTCTTATTGTAAATATATGAATACGAACAGCCACTGAGATTCTTAATAGAAGTCGCATGCGTGGCGTATCCCAAGAACTGGAATGATCAACGCCAAGAAAATATCCTTTGCCTTTTGGTGGTATAATTGCGCAGCCTGTGACTTGACTAGGCCTCATTTCCTTTTAGGAGTTTTTTATTGCCACGAGTGCAATCAAGTTCCATTAAACTTCGAAAGCTCCTAGTCAGATTTGACTTTCTTCTGTTCCAGTTTCTATTGGAACATTGTGTTGGTTCTATCCATTCGCTTAACGAAAATAAAGCCAGCGTATCCATATGTGTTCTCAGGAAACGATAACCAGTTACTATTCCAGATGTTGGTATTGCAGGGAGCGATTTTAACAATGTGCGTGACAGGTGAGAGCTCTTGAAAGACGATTGTTGGGCATTTTCCAATATTTGGCTGCATTGCATATTTCTCTGTGTCGATGAAAATTGTTTACAGTTCGAATAAATGATTTCTCCCTCCTTAGTTCAATTTTTGCACTTTTTCTTTGCTGAACTTTGTAAGCGTTCGGAGTTGTCGAGAAGTATGCCCCTATTAAAAACCCGTTGGGGGGAGGGGGGTTGGGGTTGTCAACTTTTTTCCTGGACCAAGGAAAAATAAGCTGAAGCTACCGAGGTTTTCCTTATCCCCTTTCTCTTTCGATATTCTGGCCGAGCGACCCAAGTTACCACTAGTTGCAACATTGGATCTGTTCTGAGCAATTCAGCGCGCAGTCATGAGGTCCCTCTTTTTGAGGGCAGTAAATTTCCGTTTCATAAGCTTTCGTTGTAAGATTTTCTGAAGTCTTAACGGAGGGAATCCAGATTTCTAGGCATTTGTGGAGTATCACTCTTGGAAGCGTATCATTCCGATGCTCAGACGGCACGACGTCGAGGAATGCTGAATGTGCGATTCCGTCCAGTGATGCATCTACGAGGTACTGACGACTGGGTAAGCAAATTTTCACTGACTTCTCCATAAAATATTCAAAACCACTTCAAATACAAAGCTAACACCCCAGCAGTACTTCCAGTGGGTTAAAAAAGCCGGATCTCCGCCTTTCAGCACATTTCACTCACTTTCTTCAGAACTAAACTCTGGTATAGGATTCTTTTTGTGCGCCCTCCAGCGACATCATACAACGTTTTTATGTGAAGGCATAAAGTTTTCACGCTGTTCCTTCCAATAAAGTGCCTCTCCCAATGCAAACCATATGTATCGACTTTTTATGAGCTCAATATTCATTTATATTCAGCGGAAGCAGGTTGGCATGGAAACGCTTCATAACCAGATGATGGACGAGAATGGCATCGTATTCGATCTACGTCCTCCTACGAACGACAAAGTTTCAAGTATCTTCTCAGCTCCTACAAATACACATGGCTAAAATAGTATTGTTTACTAAAATTAATGGGCATTCCATGGTTTTCTACCTCTTTATAGTTCAATCCGAAGTTTTCTATGCGATTGTAATGCTCTTATCTGAATCTTCTTTTCTGTACCTTCACTGCACTCAATGGAGTCGAGATATTTGCGGGATCACCAGTCGTGTCTGAATCGTCTTCTGTGATAAAATGAAATACCTCAGAATTGATTCACAACAATTTGATTCAAGTTTTGTTTACTTTCGATGCCGCTCCTGTATCATCAGCAAATATCAGTGTACGGCAGTAATGTTTATGCAGCCATGAACACCTCTTGCCTCATTGATTACCTTCTTACAGAAGATACCTCTGCTTTTTTAACAATGATATTTTACCTTTCATTGTTTATGAAACCTATTTTAAAGTGATCTACATTTGCTAACACTCCACAACTAATTTTCCCTGTACTTCCTCATCCGAAACCCGAGGCCAATCGACAGGGATCCAGGTCCAAAGTTTGGTGATAGCAACCACGCATTTGGTTTCCATTCAGAACCGTGATGGCGTTCGAATCTGACTTAATATAACTGTAGGCCTGCGGGACCAACTGTTTCGNAGGACTCCGGTTCTATTTGCGTCTGGGGTTCCAAGATAAAATGGAAGGAATAGTTGGCTTAGAAAGGTGGTAATCTAGGGCCTGACCCATGGTCTTCAATGTGTTTTGCAGCACTGTCACTCGGCCCTATTTGAACTCCGCTCCAGAATGGTGACATGAAAATACATACTTCGCAAGCTCCTTCCGGCTTCGAGCCTGGCAGGACACAAGATCCATGTGGTGGGCATAGCTCTCACCCTGTTGTACAGCAGATTTATTCGTTACTAATTTCCAGAACTATTAAGAATATAAAGATAGAGATAAAGATTATAAAGATAAAAGAAAAAATAACTGTGGCAATGAGCCTTTGGGCTAGAACGATCAGAAAGTCCTCCATGAATGTTGAGAGAAATCCAGGAAATTCAGAAAATCATTTCCGCTGAGGACCACTGGGGTAGTCAGTGACACATTTTGAATGAAGATCTCTACTTAACTGATTGAACTTGTTTAGCTTTTGAGTAATACAGATCTCTTGACTTGATCAAAGAAAGCCACCTGGTTGAAGACCTATTACAAAGTTCATGACCCTCTGCCACAGGTCGGATTCCATCCAGAACAGCAAAAGAGCAAAAGCATTTAAATAAGCTCCAACATCAGACATACCTGTTCAAAGTTTAAGGGTCTTTGAGAGATGAACAGCTTCTTAGGCCTGGTCGGTGCTCAGGCCTCGACTCGATCTACGTGCTGCCATCGCAATGGTGACGTCCTCTTGCTGTTGTCGTGACCCCATGAAACCAATAGAAAACTTGAGGAAAACCGGAGCTGAAAAGCCCCAAGGCTTATGAATAGTTTTTCACCCGCTGACATTACAGCTGAAATCTAATACCTTCATAAAATCACCTTGTACTAGTATTTATCATATAGAGCTGAGCTGTCGTCTGTTTCAGATTCCAGTAATAAAGACCTTGTAAGCCGATGGCTCAATTCTATCGATGAATGATCCCTCTCAGAAAAAGCTAATATTTGCATTTACAGCACGCCAACAGGCATTGAACTGCAGGAACATCGTGGCCCGTTCACGGCGAGTACGCTGTCGTTAGCCACTCTCTCTTGCCTCTCGCTAAGTTACTTTCTGAAACTGAATAAGTTTTTCCAATTCTTCCCAAGCAATAAAGAATGCTCCCTGATCCGACGATCGATAGGTTGACCTTGATCCCAACTGTCCAACGTCAGTCAGTTCACAACAAGCGTTGCCAGCCATTTCATTGCTCATCCCACTTCCTTTATTATACACTAGAAGCATATCGCTTACTCATTACTGTTTCATTATATAGTTAATGTTACTGATTTGCAAAAAAAANAAAAAAAATACCGCTTTCCATTTGGTCTCTTCTTAGTTGGCTCTTTTCATGAGCCTCTTCAAACCTTCATCGGCATTGTCACCTTTTGGGAACTTGAAACAAAGTGGTTGCATAAAGACAGGCATGAAATCCTAAATATGGCCCCAAACTTTGAGTTTTGTATTTTTGGCTCGGGAACCGTGGTGCAAATCTATACAGGGTGCACATAGCACTGCAACTCAAAGGAGATATTTGGTTGGTCTGATTTGTATAATGAGCGGTACCTCGCTTTGCAGGCCGCTGACTTTTAATTTTTGAAATTATTTCAATTTCCGCCCCTGAAAAGTTGGTATGCTACTGAACTATTGCTGGATTGAGGTGCGGCTATCGACTTGGGTGGGCTAGGGACAGCTTTGTTCGCTATATTGATCGACCTCCGCCAAAAGGCACAGGGCCGTCAGCTGATAACAGGCTAAATGAATCCGAGCTCTAGGCCAGGCTCGAGTTCACATTCGGCATTTACGTTCGTTGGTCGGTCGGTCGAACCACCCTTTTTAATTGATGTTCGTTTCTTTATGCGTTGCCGATAACTTCTGCAAATATGTAGTCATTGAACATCAGCGTTGCACTTGAATAACCATTTCATCGCGCCAAAATGGTCCTTTACGCTCGTTAGCACCGGGTTGACGCCTTTTCACGCTGCCTGGCGCACCTTCCCATCCATGGTTGTTCCCAAAGGTTCATTGATCAGGCAGGCAACGAGGTGGATCATTTGCTTTCTACCAAGCATTATCTTTCATCGGCCCACACGACCAACTCTTCTGAAAAGCCATCGTTTCAGGACTCACTCAGTAGACTCTGTCGTTTATTGCGTCCAGATAATCATTGCTTTTGTTTTATCCCTTTTGAAGGCGATCTCCTCGGGGGCACATTAAATTGCTTTTCATCTGGGCATTACTACGCTTCTAATTTGACGTTATGAATTGAAGGTCCGTCTTCAAGCTTTTGTCACACAGTGGGTCCTGTCGCGATGATCCCGTTTGTGACGGTAATGCTGCCCAATGCTGCCTGAGCCGTTGTGACATCATTCAGCACACCCCATTAAGTTTTTCATGCTCCTGTGGTCAAACTACTTGGGATCTCGGTAATTCTGCACTAGTCTGCTTCGCCCATTAATTTCCTTAGTTGGAGAAAATCGTTTAGAATCCCTGTTTCACGCCCGGAATCTTGGTTTTTGCTGGTTGGGACCCGCATGTGGCTATCGATCGTAGCTTTCCAAGTGTAGCCGGGGTGATGTTTTGAAGCGGGCGCTGTTTTTTCTACTTTCTGCGAAGGCCTCGACCTCATTGTGGTCGTTCCTTTTCATCATTGTCATCCTCCCCCACTCCTCCTCGAACACCTCCTCCAGTGGTCACTTGGGCGGGTTACGGTCGGGCGGGAGTTTTGTCTGACCATTGTCGCTTGTTTCTGTGAATCAGGAAAATTCACCTCAAATCATCTTCATCGTCTTGTTTTCGGTGTGTGATCTAAACCCAACGCTTGTAATGTATGGAGAAGTGTTAGAAGGGGTAAGTAGAGTGTTTTCAATTAAAATTACTCGAAATATTTCTTTTTAATTACTTAATTGTAGATATTTGTCGTCGAATTTATTCTTTGTCATTTTTTTTGTTGACACCAAATCTGATTCGAAAAGTTGTTTGTTCTCCTTAGTTATTTTTAGACTACTCATACCCGTTACTGCTGATTGTTTGCATTTCTTTTCCTTGGATCATCGTATTCAGATGGCCGCTCTCAACTATAAGACCGATGACAGCAGCGGTATGGTATTTCTGTCTGGTAATTCTCATCCAGAACTTTCACGTCTGGTTTCGGAGTAAGTTATTGCTAGTGTCTTCAACTGTTAGTAACAAGAGTAACTAGTATCCCATGTTGCTCATGCCCCTATCAAAGTCAAACTTTAGGACTTGTTACCTTTGCAGTGAATGAGAGGTTTACCGGGAGGAAATCTTTTTTTCTTAATGATCTTCTCAAATTGTAAACAATATTTGTTTAGTCGACTTGGTATTCGTCAAGGAGAAGTGATTGTTTATAACAAGACAAATAGAGGTTTGATCTTCCATCTTCATTAGTGAGGAAGTTGTTATTTTTCACCCGTTTTCAGAAACCTCCGTTGATATCAAGCAATCTGTCCGTGGAAAGCATGTTTTCATTCTTCAAAGTGGTTCCAAGTAAGTTTTTTTCTTTCCTAGACTTGTTAGTTTTGTTGGTCTTGCTTATTAAAATTGCTTGATAATATAGTAGCTGCTCAAGGTACAGCCTGGATTCTTAGGACTTTTTCTGAACTGTATCTGATCCATTAGTTTGTCACATATGTAAATTTAGAAAGTTTAACCCATTGGCGACCGCACCTTTTATATTGTCCTTTCATTAACTTTTAATTTCTCTTATAATTGCAGCTGGGAATGAATAATTCCTGGACCACAATGCCTCAAGATTCTCTGAAAGGCTGTGAGCTCAGCTGATTCTTGGAAACATGAAAAGTTATAAGAACACTCGATAAATAATATAAATACCACAGGAGCGCGTTATGGTGTGGTCCATCAGCGGGCCACGCGGTCGTCAATGGGTTAAAACTGCAAAACCTGGAAAAGTAAATGGACACGAGAAGGATAAGATTAGTCCGGGTCATTATCGAATGGACCTCCTTTTTGTCTCCACATCCATGTCGAATTAATAAATCGTCGAATTTGATAAATCTTAGATTTTGGAAACAACTCACCTAATATTCTCCCTTACTCGTCGTACACATCCATCCCTTGAAAATTTCTTTAAGAAACCGAACTTTTCTCTAATGAAGTTTCTCGATATTCTTTTCGCAATCCACATTCCATCTGAACCCCTTATATTTTCAGAAATGTGAATAATGATGTAATGGAATTGCTGATTCTTATCTATGCCTGCAAGACATCTATGTCGAAGACGATCACTGTTATGATGCCATATCTCCCGTATTCGAAACAATGCCGAATGCTTCGTCGATCATCGATTCCGATGAAGCTTATTGCTGAAATGATTTGTCGTGCCGGTGAGCTGTGTAAATCGTTTTCTCTTCGAGCGATGAGATAGCGCGAGCTATGCGATCTCGTGATTGGTTATCGTGACGATCAGCCAATCATAGAATTTCCTGTTGCTCAGTGCTGCGATTTGTTCCCACCAGAATGCCATTGTTCAGGTGCATCACGTTTGGTGTCCTTGGATCTTTACAAGAAGGAAATCCAAGGGTTCTTTTCGATTCCTGTGGATAATCTCCGCGCTTCACCGTTTCTCCTTCAGTACATCAAAGAATATGTGAGTAAAACTAGTACTTTTTGCGGGGTAGGCAGTAACAACACGTTTTTGTAGATTCCCGACTATAAGAATGCGATTATCGTGGCCAAGTCTCCCGGTGTAATGAACAAGGCGACATCTTACGCGGATCGTCTTCGACTTGGTAGGTGTTCTTGTTCAGTGCCGGCGTTTTATTGTGAATAGTTCTTTCTTTTTTCACTATTTTCACGCTTTGAATTCATATCTTCTTCCCAGAATACTTTTTGTACAGAATTTGTTCCATTCTCTAAACTCTATACAGCTTTAGGGAGTGAGTTTTATTTATTACACATGGGCAGCAGGTATGATTCAATTAGCGCGAAGTTGTTCTTCTCCTTTTGGAGATTTTCCTGTTGTGTTTGAGAATTACGATAAATGAGGTACTGTCCTGACGCATTATCACTGTTTGTGAGGGGGCGGTTCATGCTTCCCTTATTGCAACGTACATTAGATGCGCGCGGTCGCATTGCACGGTTCATATTGTGCAGCAGTCTAGACAGAAATATCGTGACAGTTATCTCAGACACTTCCAAAAACTTGAGCTGTTCAACATAGTACTTTTCGACGTTCAACACAGTGATTGCTAATGTTGAAGGTCTGAAAGTATTCCTCTTTACAGCTCTTCGGTTCTATTTCGGTAATGTCTGGCTATTTCGCGTAAATGTTCAACAGGCATACCTCATTTATATGTTCTCTACTGAACTATTTTTCTTTGCACTCACATCATTAATGTGTATGGTTTTCCAATCGATTCTTCGATTGTGGTAGGAGAGACTTCAAATGAAACCATCTATGATAGTAGGAAAGTAATAATATGGATAGTAGTTGTAATTTCTCTAATTTCATACAGTCCCCCTGAAATCGACCATTTCCTATCACGTAGTAAACCTCTGTTGCTTTATAAGATACATTTGTGTAATCTATTAAATGGAATAAGATTAAACCGTTTAGCACTACTGGGAATATTAGGTGTTTATAATCATCCGGCTGCTCCGCGGCCGCCCGCGAGCTTTCTAAATAATGCGTTTAAAAACTTTGAACTTCGACGAGTACCATTTGGTTCGTAAAATAGTTTGCCACCACCTTTCTGTGTGGTCACAGTTCCACTGTCCTTCTAACTCTATCTCGTCCGTTCTGATCTGAGTGATGAGGTTGTGTTGAAGCATTTTCTCTCGCGCACCTGTTGAAACCGGTTGTCTGCGAACTGATGTGGTTTTTTTAGGTGTTGCGGTAATCCATGGTGAACAAAAGGATTCCGAAGAGTCAGGGCTTGAAGATGGTCGACAGAGTCCACCGCCCAACTATGCACCTTTTGAGCTGTTTCCTTGTGAGTTTACACTTTGAGGCTTAGTCTTGCAAATAAATTCTCTGAAATTATTCGTACTGATTTGTCGTAATTTCAGCTCAGGAACCTAAGCAAAAGCCTCCTTTGACGGTAGTCGGAGATGTTGGTGGACGTATTGCCATAATGGTGGTAAGTACTCTATAGTTCGACTTTTAAGTAGCTCCAGATGTTTTGTCGAAAAATTTCCAAATCATTCGAGGACGACATCATTGACGACGCCCAGTCGTTTGTGGCTGCTGCCGAAGTATTGAAGACTCGTGGAGCGTACAAGATTTATGTGATCGCGACTCATGGTGTACTCAGCTCAGATGCTCCAGCTCTTCTTGAAGCTTCACCCATCACTCAGGTAAGATTGTTTTGGGCGAAGTTTTTTTACAGATGCCGTCGTACTTACAAATAGCGCTCATTACTTTGTACTTTTACCGTTTCTCCTTACTCTTTACCAAGTAACAATAGAATTGGTTGGTGGATCGCTTTTGACGTGGCTCAGTTCTTTGAAGTTAGTGTCAACGGTTTATAAACGCGGTAATATGATGAGAAACTTGCTTTAAGTTACATGCGATTACACGCCAAGTGAACCGCACCGCAGCCGTTCGCGTAGTAGCAGCATTTTTCGCACTCAGGCTGGTGTAACTTGTTGTAATTCGTTCTACTTAAGGTAATCGTGACCAATACTGTTCCTCATGAAGTACAGAAAATGCGCTGCCATAAGATCAAAACCGTCGATATATCGCTGATGCTTTGTGAAGCCGTTCGTCGTATATATCACAATGAATCGATGGGACAACTGTTCCGAGACATTACTCTCGACGACTAGTAATGTCATTCTCATTAACGACCAATTTGTTTAGTATAAAATCTGTTAGTGTATGTAATTGTAGTAACCAGTGATAGTTGCATTTAATGTTCGATCTTTCATACCTCCCTCAACCAATGTTTGCCATTATGGCATAGTATTCTAATAATTCGAGGAGTTCTATTTTTAGCGACGTCACTTGATTGGCTACTGTTTGACATAGCCATTAGCGTATTTGCTAGGCCAGATTACGCTCAGTTACAGTATTCTATTTAGTATATGAGATTCACAAGTTCATCGTTACTTGTGACAAGTCAAAGTATGTATGACAACCAAGCTCTCTATTTAGTATGAACATGACCGTGGTTCTCACTTCGTTTTGGTGACGATGAGAGTTCGAGCTTCTGTCTTCTTTAAATGCCTAATAATGCGTGTATAACGAGAAATAGGGTCGTCATGTCAGGCTGCATTTCCTACTTCTCTTTGACTAGGTCATATTTCTTCGATTTTCTGGTGATGTAAACATGAAGTCTTCAGTAAACATGAAGTATTATGGGTATGTGTGGTCCTATGCAGAAGCATTACTTCGAAGTAACACAATCGATCAATAAATATCAAATCTCCAGTAAGAGAACACTACCTAAAGACGCGTAGTTTGATAAGTAAGTCGGAAAGTCTATCCTGCACCCCTAGAAGGGTGGTATTCGGCAATAAGGTGCGAGAGCCGGTGCTAGGGAATGGTAGGACTACCCAGAGTTGTAAGGGGAGAAGTAGTAGAAGTGAATTGGATCAGCTTTTGTTGACGGCCTCTTAAGTAGCATAATGTGTGGTTGTTAATTTCACTGAATTACATTAAAATTATTCTCTCCGAAAGTTGCAAAGGAGTACTTTGAACCGAGGCCAAGTTAGTGTTGCAAACGGTTATCGCCGATAAGCCATCAGTGACGGACTGCTTGTGCGTTTGGCGCTCACCGTCATTGTAAAGATGCGATAACCAGTAAGCCTGGGTCAAAGTCCAATCGTGTGCTCACTGTAGGTAGGATTTATGAGCCCATTGTGCAATACTTTCCGTGGCTTCCATTCTTTAACAGATATGCCACCATGAGGGAGGTCGCACGGTCTAATGGGCTGGTTTTGATCCGGACGGAGGAGTCTGAGCTAAGGCCTAAAAATCTGAAAGAAAATTCGTCCGAAGATTTAAAGAAGGCCAGATTGGTCACATTCAAGCGCTATTCAGTTGGATATTTTCTCTCTAGTTTCTGGTATATTAATTTTGTCCAAATCGAAAGACAAAAGCCTTAGCAAACAAAAATGATGATTTCAGAGAGGTTTGCAACCATACAAAGTGAAATCCATCGGGAATTTCTCACAAAAATCCTTTCATGAGGGCGCCAATAATTGATACGAGCGTCATTTCATCCGTCTTATTTCATGCATTATCCCCCTTGATCCAAATTGATGGGGCTCGGGAATGTCAGAACGACGAACAGCGTTGGTCATTTCACCATCCACCCATTCACCATTTGCCTAACTATACAACCCACCTAAAAGTGCAAAGAGCAATTGGCCGAAAAAGTCGCCAAGATTGATGATAAAGGTGGCGTGACGAGCATTTTCCAGCTGTGGCCACCCTCGTGGTGCATTTTTTTGTGGACTGTCCACTAATTCTACCTACTTATTTCTAAATTGCCGTTATGTTTCAACCCGTTCTCTATTACTTCTTCCCGTTTTTTTTTTTGAAACTATAGTTCAATTGAAAGCGTAGATCATACTTACATCTTCGCTACCTTGATCTCTTTGCTACTAGAAATTGTAGGAGCCGAGTAGTTGCAAGTTGTCATACCACTGTTGCAAGGCCTTTTCCTTCTTCACCTATTTCTCAAGTATTTTTTTNTTTTTTTACTTCTGTTGTTCTTCTCGTCTTGCTTTCCCCTTCTATCCATGAGAGGTGAGAGTTACCAGTTAACATTTGCTGAACGCATCAGACTTCTACGGCCAATGAATTGGTAGCAATGATGTCCTTAAAAATGTGTTACTATTTTATATCATAATAATGTCATTTTAATCCTTCTTCTTATTGCTGTCATACGTTGCATTCCACGATGTGAATGTGATTAAGTGCTCAGCAAATTGGTAGTTTTGGCTGGATTCGAACCCATGCTTGTATTATCTGTGGCTTGGGCTCATATCCACAACAACATCAACACCACTACGCCCAATGGATGGCTGCAACCACTTTATCATTCCAAAGCAGACTTTGGAGCAGTAACGATGTTTACTTTATAGATTGCATATATGACCCAAATCCGACACACTTGGTAAATATTTTTCGTAGAAGAAAGCCGACCCAATCGCTTACGGCTGTTTGAAACCAGCATAACCGAAAACATGCTATCACCATGGGAAAAACGAAGTGGAGAACTTTTTTGGAAGTCTTTTTATGTATTTATCTCTCGTAATAAGCAAAAACAATATTAATTATACTAATGAGAAGGCAGAAAAGGGAAAAAATGAAACATGGTTAATTCTAAATTCAGCTGCATCCCGGAAAGACCCTGTGAGGTCGAAGCAGAAGCCGGAAAAGGGGGAGTAGCAATTAAAAGGAAATTTCGATGTTGGATGAGTCTGCGNGTTATCCATCATATTCAAAGTTCTGTTATGAAAACACTGAGGCATCCCTAGAGGTTTTATTGTTTTGCCTCAAACTGGCTCCAGTTGGCCTGAAGACCATAAAATTAGAATATTTAGAAAAAATTGTTTCCAAAGCCGCTCATAACCTGATGAATTGAGGCTACCATTTTGCGTAGTTCGTTCTGAAACTCAGTAAACATGAGAGTAAGTTGTGGGAGCAGTTTTCGGTGGTAATCTGAGAGCACGTGAAGTTCTATGAAGCAATTAATGAGTTGGACCTACGATGCAACCATATAATGAGCTCGAACGAGCACGTGCTAGCTTAAGTTGTATACTCAGAGAGGTGGTTCAGCAAACATAGTAGGGACCAAATCGCCTAGGTCAAACAACACCGAATGAACCCCCATTCGGTCTGGTTATTCAATATTCGGAGCTACTTCCGCTATTTCGTTTTGACCACCGTTCGATCTGTTTTTCTTGAGAAATACTTGAAAAGCTAAACCAGGGCCATACGAACCTGTTCCCACGCAAGAGTTTCCAGATGTGCGGAGTTGAAAGATGACCTGGCGTGGGATTGAAATCCCATTCATCCTCTTGCCGTCCGTCGAATATCCTACGGGAAGCCTCGGAATGCATTGATATTCACCGAGCAAACGTCTTGAGATAGCTGTTATTAATCTCAATGAAAT